GGAAATATGACATCGAAACAACGTTGATCTGACATTGTTTTGCTCATCGAATTAACGTTGAACCAACGTCAGACGCGTCATTCTTTCAAAACTAACGGAAAATCAACTTGAAATCAACGCGTTGTTTCAACGTTATGAAAGCAAACCAATTTTCGATTTTCATTTAGCTTTGAAGAATGCCGCGTCTGACGTTGGTTCAACGTTAATTCGATGAGCAAAATCAACGTTGTTTCAATGTCATGAGAGACGTCGTTTCCACGTTGATTCAATGTCAGTTTGCTGTCTGGGTAAAGGTCGCCGTGCAACTGATACTCAACTGCTATTGGCTCATCTGCGCTCGAGGGGAGGGGCTTACTGTTAGCCTGAAGACTCTGATTGAAACCCTGTTTGAGCCGTTAGACACATGGGGCCCTATCTTGCACCCGGCGCAATTGACTTTGCACATCGACGTATGTATCATTTGTATTTTGCAGCCGCGCAAAGCAGACTTTTCCCTTCACAGACTCACGCCGGCAAACTAGGGAATGAACTTGGTTCAGCGCAAAAAAGGAGGCGTGTTTCGGCGCAAACAACAATCCCTGCAACGCATTCTCATCCCAAAGCGCCATATACAACGCTTTTGCAAAAGCGTAAATATCCAACGCACATGGCACCCTTTAACGTCTAATGAGACGCTTCGGTTATGGTTAAGTTTAGGTATGGTGTAGGGTAAGGGTTAGACCACTAGGGGGCGCCTTCTGCCCAAATATATCTGCGTCTCATTTCACGTTAAAGGGTGCCATGTGCGTTGGATATTTACGCTTTTGCAAAAGCGTCCTATATGGCGCTTTGGGATGAGAACGGGTGCTATTTTGTGCCATCCCTGGTGCCATCCCTGGTGCTATTTTGCAGTTCCAGAAAACAATTGCGCCACTGACCAGGGGTGCGTTTCCCAAAAGCATCGTTAGCCAACTATGATCGCAAGTTCCGTCGTTATCAGCATAGTTCAACGAGTCGGTGTTTCCCGAAACCATCGCTCCAACGAACATTCGCAAACAGCATCGCAAAGTTGTGTGGTTTGAACGACAGCTCTCGACCTGTGGTTACAGGCATCGTTTCTATCTTGCATGACATTTGGAGGTAATAAATCCTGATCTTGAGCAAAATAAGCAAGCTGACATTCAGTACAACCGGTGCCTTTTATTTAGAATACATACAAATGTAATTTACGTCTTTTAGTTTTTCAAAAGTACTGTGTTTGAAGAGTGTGCATGTGCGAATGTGCTCTACTATGTAAGAACGAGCCAAATATTGAGTCTGGTAATAAAGCAAAACAACTGAGAGCAATTAGAAATAGTCCTCAGATGACATGTCTGTAATTTATATAAAACAAATCTAGCGTTAATTGGATCTCAAACAGTTTCATTAAAAGTAGTTATCACTCCACCACGTGCGAAACCAACGTGGTTGAACGATACTTTGCGACAGTGGGTTTCGGGAAACAGTCGTGACTAGCTAGTTGATTTTTCCAACGATGCATCGCACTATGGTAGTGAATCAGTGAACTACGTCGTTGTACGGGAAACGCAACATCGTTGCGCATACATTCAGATGCTATTTTAAGCCTGCATGCTTGCCCATAATGATACATTATTATAAGAAAAAATATTAAAACATGAGGGAAATCATGGTTGTGTCCATGACAATGGAAAAAAAATAGGCATAAAGCTCACACATTTACCCCAAATATTTATATGCATGTTTAACCGAAGCTAATGGGGGTGTGTTTGTCCCATCCCCAATGTCACTTCTCTTTCTTTTACGGCCCTGATGAGAACATCAATCTCCTCGGCCGTAAACCGATTGTGAAGCGCGTCTGGTAAATGCGCCGTTATAATAGTATTACGCCATGGAACAAGCGCATGGATTCATCATGCTCTTAAAGAGAATGTGATTTGACGCTCTTATTGGTTTGTTTCCCGTTACGCCCAAACCACACCTATGAATAATGAAGCTACTTCAGACCAAACCTTTTTAGATTTGCGCCAGGCGGAAGAGGCATTTATCCCGCCGGGAAAATAGCAACAGCGCCGAGATCCGCCCACAAAGTTACTTGCGCTTTGCGCTTGACGCTTGCGTTTCAGATCGTTAAAATAGGGCCCATGGAGTTAAAACTTCTCACACTGAAGACAGCATTTCTTTTGTCTATTTCTTCAGTTAGAAAAAGTTAAAAGTGATGCTGAGATGGTATTATATTGAACAGATAAATATCCATTGCCTGTGTAGCTCTCCAACAGAGTTCATTGTAAAGCATTATCTATTGTGAAGGCTCATTTTGTAGCGCTGTACTGGAATTTTCAGATGTGATCCACCAGACATATCGGTGATATCCACCAGAAGAAAAATAACACATATGAATAGTTAGTATATATCCTGCACACATACACACTCAGCTCTGCTGGATCAGGTCAGCAGTGTCTCTAAAACGGCAGTGTTGTTTACAACACATGCGTACACACACTCACACACACAAACACGCATCTGCAACTTTTACAGAAACCTCAGCAATTATATTTCCTCATTTATTCTCTAGAACAACCTTTTTTAAAACAAATAAATAAAATGATTTCCTATCCCTGTTGCACAAGTTGTAAATGATCTGCTTCCTCATTCTACTTTCATGGCTCAGGCATTTTAACAGCATACAGACACAGTTACTCATGAGAGTGATAATGATAATTAAGAATATTGCCATTAAATTATTGTCAATGTAAGAAAAATAGAGTGAGGAATACATGTAATAAAGGTCCTCCTCTCTGATATTATTCATAATAATATCCTTGTCCAGTGCCTGGCAAAAGTCCAGGCCCTTATTCTTATTCTCCAGGGCTATTACTTTAGCTTAAAAACTTTTACGTATCTTAGCTTAAGAGCGATTCGGGACCGATCTGAGGGCAACTCTGAGCTAAAGCCTAGTTCACACTACATGATTTTAACCCTCCTACTATTTGACCACATTCAATGTTTAACGTCTGTAAATACATCATTTTTTTTTTCCTTCAGATTTAATGACTTTTCCTAGTTTAATGGGGACAATTCTGTAAAGATAAAATGAACCTGCTAATATTTTTAAGTCCTGTACACATTTTGTAGCATCGGTGTTCCTTGGGGTCAATTTGACCCCAGGCTCTTTTAGTTGTATCATAAAACAGAAGAAATATCAAAATTTCACACACATTTGTTTTGGTTGTTTTATTGAGGTCACTATAACATGTTATAATTTGAATTTATAATGTTTCTTGTAATTTTACATATTCAATATCATATTCCAAAAATTTCTTCTGTTTTAGGGCTCTAACCAAACATAACCATATCTGTAGTATTGTGAGAACCACTAGTAGTTCACATAACATGTGACATAATTCTCATGAGAACTAATAATTCTTTCCCGTGCCATGGGGGAGGGGAAAACATCATTTTTGTGAGAACATTGATGTTTCCCGTGCCGTGGGGGAGGGGAAAACATCATTTTTGCGAGATTGACCCCAAACATTACTCGTGTTACTATCCTTGATAGTTTTTCTTTCCAAATGTTATAGATTACAAAAATCTATACTTCGAAATATTATAAAACAAATAAAACACCAAATATATTTATACTTTTCCAATTTTAGGTCAATCAGTAAGACTTTATGTTGATTTGTAAATTTGTCCATAGTTGTGCAATGGGTATTCTGGATGTATGTGGGGTTAGGTGGGGTGGGGTGGTGGGTGGATGTCAACTTAAAAGGTTACTTAAGTAGTCAACAAAGACATAAATTAACTGAGACAAACCTTTGTAAAAAATAAAATTTCATATTTTCATATTTCACGACAAGTCAAACCACGAACGACGTGCTAGTGAGCTGAACTGTATAAAGTTCAGCAAACTTCTGAACTGTATGAACGGCGTTCGTGGTTCGACTTGTCGAGACTGTTTTCCAAAGATAGCGCCGCCTGTATACACGATGTGAACTGTCTTTATAAAGTATCTTATTAAACGGTCTGTACACTTACAAAGTTCTCAATGCTTCGTTTTGTATGTATGGAGCCTCATTATGTTACTGTGTTAGTGTGGGGCTATTTTGAGCCTTGTTAGTGGTATAAACTAGCGATTTCTTATTACTTATTAAATGCCCCCAGTACTAGCGTTATACGCTAAACAGTTTTTAGAGATAAAACTCTTTACAATTGATTATCATGAAAACAAATCTCAGAGAACGGTTGACAAGATACCAATGTTTTATTAGACCAAAGGTTCATTTTGCGCCGGAGTTCTCCTTTAATCCGCATCACCATTTGTACTCGTTGTGAATACGCAGGCCACAAGAAGTAATTACGTGGATTTGTTTAGTTTTTTAATCACTTTTACTCAGGACATGCTAGCTTGCAACAAAGGATTCCATGTGCTAAGCTAAGCTAGCGCCAACCCTGTCAAACTAAAACAATGCATGCACTGAGACAAAAATGCATTTGCACACATATCTAAATGTAGGAAAGAATGTGAATAAGCCCTATTTCAAAAAACGGTGGAGTGTTCCTTTAACTGTTAATGTATTTACTTTGGTACTGTACTTGTAGCGCTTTGGGTACAAGAAAAGCGCAATATAAATACAATTTATTATTATTAAAAAGCTATTTTACTGTAAGCCCTTTATTTTACTGTGTATAAGTGTTGTGTGTTAGGACAGTTTTAGGATAGCACAGTAACCTTGGATGAATTTGTTTATATTCATATTGTACAAAAACAAAAAATATGTGCACACAGTCGCACACACAAGTCCAATTTGAACTACAGTAAATGCATGAATTTTGCTGCCTTGATGACACTGTTTTTAAACATTTGACAAAAATAATTTGGTTTCATATGATGAAACTTTCAAACATTATTGGAAAGTAGTTAATCTGATGAACTGCATCTGTGTGAGAAGAACTGACGTTATACATCCACTAAAAATAATCAAAACACAGACAAAAATGAGTTCTTGGTGTGAGAAAGTTTCTTATTTTTATTCAGGCACAGCTAACTCCCACATCTTCACCATGACTACAGTTATGAGTTTCAATTCCTGCATGTGGACAGTCAAAAATGCTCCTCTCATTCCCAGTACATCTCAACTCATCCAGCCAGATTTTTCCAGTTCCTGCAAGAGATACACAGCAGAGTGTTCTGAGAGGGTTGTGGAAACCATAGCCTGTATACCATGAGCCATTAACTAAAACCCCTTAAGAATAGACCGATACATCACCTGCAGCGGCCGTGTACACCACGGTGGCCCTCTGGAAGCCCAACATCCTACACACCACCAAAGCATCCACAGAGTCAAAGCTGTCATCACACACCGTTCCCCAGACGCCATTATACAGAACCTCGACTCTTCCACGCGTGGAGCTTCCCACTAAACGAATCACAGCTACAGACAAATACACATATATGAGACATGTTTGGGCATTGGTATGTCATGCTAAAGTGACTGTTATTTTGTAGAGTAGACAAAAAAAAAAACTACAAAAATACAAGAATCTCTGAGAATTGAATAGACGTTAACACTAGCTATGTTATCATTCACCTATTTTAATGCGAATTTTGGGTTATCACATTCAAAAAAGGCTGGATGGAAACACCAAGATGAGCATAAATTGATAATGTGCATAATGTGTTCATGTGCATAAAACTTACGGTGCGAATAATAAGAGATAAGAGGCCATGAACATAAACTACACCTTTGCAGAATAAATCCTTTGATGCGCAACAATAACCTCATGTTACTTTGACTCCGCAGAGCCTGTGATTGGATAACTGGAGTAACCAGTAGACCAATGGAATCGCAGCATCTCAAATTTTGGGTTTGGTGATTCTGAAACGTCGGAGTCAAAGTCTTACATCAGAATGATTTTGTTTAACTCCTACAGAAGCATCTCACACGATTGAGTTCCCAAACACCAGCATCCGAACGCAAGAGAACATGACAGCGTTTATTGTGTTTCGTCTGACGCTCTGAGACGAGTGAATAGTATAGTCTGACACTCTGGAGGAAAACAGAATGCAGCAACACCCATTTTTTATTACAGATATAATGTGCCAATTTGGGCACAAGTTAAATCTGAAACGCTGGATGGAAACATAGCTAGTGACACACTGTAGTAAAGAGAGATGGATCAGTATTAATGGAAATTACCAGGCACACCACCCCTGGGTCCTACATCACCCTTCGGGCCTGTTTAAGACCATCATACATACAATCATGTAAATACAATCAATTCACTTGCAAAACAGGTTAATAATCACATAGATGCTGTGCACTCACAAATATTGTGGATACACGCGAAATATGCCAAAACATACCTTGATCTCCCTTTTGCCCTGGGAGAGAATAGGGTAAGAGGAAAAGAAGAAAGTCAAGGAACACACACATATGTATGTTGCCTTCTTGTCATTAATAAACTTTTTAAGAAACCAACCTGAATCCCCTTTACTGCCCTTTACTCCACTCAGACCAGGAATTCCTGGGACACCAACAAACAACATCAAACTCGCATGACGACTGCATGACATGAACCCAATGTTTATTTTCATTTTCCATGTTTGTCTTTATTTACCTGGCAAGCCTTTATCTCCCTTTTCCCCCTGCTGTCCTGGGGGCCCTGAAAACAATTATTTACCCAAAATTATTGGCAACAGCATATATCACTATTATGTGCATGTGTTCTTAGCATTCCTACAATACCTTGAACCCCAAGGCCACTGTCTCCCTTTGGTCCAGGCGAGCCTTTTTCTCCAGGCGGTCCTTGCAGGCCAGAAGGTCCCTGTGGACCAGGAGGCCCTAAAAGATCAACCAACCACAGGTGAGGGCACAAATCAATAAGGAGTTATGAAATTCAGTCTGCCTGAAAACGGTCACATTTACTGGGTACCAGGATGGTACAATGAGCACTTGTGAGGAGAAACTTTAATCTCTGTATTTGCTGAAGTTGCCAAGTTAGTGACTCACAATGCGTCAATGACGCTGTGGGAACACTCCTGTGTGAATGCGTCTGAGCACTTGTGTCAACTAGTCTAATGGCGAGAATGAGCATTCACAGGCGGGTGACATCATGACCAGGAAAGATTAAAAGCACAACCGGAATCTCCCCACGTCAGCTTCTGTGCCTCAGCAGTGCTCTATGTTACTTTGTCTGTCATATTTTTTGTTGTCTGTCACGTTACACAAGCAGATCAATATTATATGAAATGGCATCCAAACAAGTGTGCCAGCAGTGTGTTCCTCCTTGCCCTCGTTTCCTCACGGGTGGGGATACACATAAGCTTTGTGTCATTTGTTTGGGAGTGGAGCATGCGGTGTTAGCATACGAGAGGCTGACTGTGAGCATTGTGAAAGGCTACCGCTTTGCACGCTCCGCTCTCGCCTATCACTCTTTGAGGAGGGTGTTCAGGTGGGCGTTCCCTCCGGTTCGGGCCCCACTGCTTCCGAGGCAGCACAGAAGCTCTTATCGTGGGGATTGCAAATGAATCTCATGGCTTGGTTTGAGATGGGCTCTGCCCGTCTTTACCCGTGAGATCCAGTGCTCTCAGCCGAAGTCTTTTAAGTAACAGGCCGATCTGAGGACCTTTGGCAAAGAAGAGGGCCTTCTGAGGAGCTTCGGCAAAGAAGAGGTCCTGACGTCTACGGCGTCAAGCTTCTAAGGGCAGCCCCCTCCGGGGTCGGGCAGTGTTAACCTCATCCTACGGTGCCTGCCCCGTCCCGGTGCCCTCAGGAGACCGTCCTGCCAACCCTGACACACTCGGTGCTTCATGGTGCAGCTGTATCGAGCAAATTCCAAACCCAACATCTCTGTTACGACGTGGCGTCAGGTTTGCACCCTCTGAGGAGGGTCGAAAGTCAGTCAGTTCAAATATCCTCTGCCAGTATGCTTCAGGCCACCGAAGTGACGACTGTTTTTACACCAGAGGCCAGCCTCGAGAGGCTGGATCCCTTTGTAGAATATTTATCGGAATGGAAGATTCTGCCAAATATATCTCAATGGGTCCTGCATATAGTCGAGAAGGGGTACAGAATCAAGTTCGGTTCTCGTCCACCACATTTCACACAACATGAAGTTGAAGTTCAAGATGGAGGGAACCGAGGTGGTGAAGCACATTTAGGGGTTTTATAGCCAGGTTCAGGTGGATCTGTTCGCGTCTCAAGATATGACGCACTGTCCACTGTGGTTTACCCTCACGCACCCAACCCCACTATGGCTAGACGCGTTGGTGCAGACGTGGCCGAGGCTACCGCTGTACGCTTTTCCCCCAATTGCTCTGCTCCCGGGAGTTCTGGAGAAGATCCACCAGAACAGAGTGAGTGTCTTGTTAGTAGCTCCTTTCTTGCCAAGCCGAATTTGGTTCTCGAACCTGATTTCCCTTCTAGACGGTCCTCCCTTGGAGCTACCGGTCAGGAGGGACCTTCTTTCTCAGGCAGGAGGAGAGATTCTCCATCCTCCCCAGAAGCACTCAATCTGTGGGTCTGACCTCTGAGGGGACCCAACCATTTTAAGCTCCAGAGCTCCATCCACAAGGAAACTTTATGCCCTGAAATTGAGGGTTTTTACCCCATGGTTCAATGTCAGTGGGATCCTGCACGGTTCAATCAGTTCAATACTTGGAGTTCCTTCAAGACCGTTACTTGTCAGGATCCCCTTCTACTCTGAAGCTTTATGTTGCGGCCATCACTGCCTACCATGCTCCCTCTGGGGGTTTTTAATTAGAAAAGATACTCTTTTTATTCGTTTCCCCCATGGTACCCTGAGGCTGAGGCCTGCAGTTCGGTCTAGAATTTCATCCTCGGATCAGGCTGTTGTTCTAGAAGGTCTATCTGTTACTCCCTTTGAGCCTTTTGAGTCTGTCTCAAATAAATTTCTGACCCTCAAAACTGTGTTCCTTCAAGCTATTTCCTCTCTGAAAAGAGTAAGAGACCTCCAGGCACTGTCTGTGTCTCCTTCATGCCTTGCGTTTGCGCCTGGTATAGCTAAGGCTTTCCTCGATCCTAAACGAGGTTATGTTCCTAAGGTTCCAACCAAAATTCTGCAGGCGTTCTATCCTCCTCCCTTCAAAGATTCAGAGTAGAGGAAACTGAACCTTGTGTGTCCAGTCAGAGCACTGGATACCTATGTTCACAGATCTTCACGTTGGAGAATTTCTGATCAGTTGTTTGTGTGCTTTGGTCAGCACAAGAAGGGCCTTCCTGCATCTAAACAGACGGTTAGCAAGTGGATAGTCGAGGCTATTTCTCTTGCAAATGAGGTTCTGGGCCATCCTTCTCCTTTATCTATCAGAGCCCACTCTACTAGGGGTATGGCGGCTTCTAAAGCGTTACTCTCATGGGTATCTATTCAAGAGGTGTGTGACGCAGCTGGCTGGTCCTCACCACTTACGTTTGTCAAATTGTATGACTTGGATGTCGATACCCCGGGGTCTAGAGTTCTCATGTCTTGACATTGTAACTGACAGGTTCTCGGATGTATGGCGTTTCTGGCATTCTCGTTCCCATCGCATCATTGACGCATCATGAGTTCCTTCGAAAGGGAACGTCTCAGATTACGACTGTAACCATAGTTCCCTGAGATAGGGAAAGAGACGATGCATCACTTTGCCATACCTCCTTCATCCGAGATCGACTGCTTCGGCTTCGGTGCTCAGACGCATTCAAAGCATTTGGGGCGTTCCCACAGCGTCATTGACGCATCGTCTCGTTCCCTATCTTAGGGAATTATGGTTACAGGCGTAACCTGAGACGTTTTATGACTTTCAGGTAAATACTGTCTGTAAAATAATCTGTAGTTTTTAGAAAGACTTATTATCTTTGAAAGTCTACACACATGTTCTCCTGGGTACTTGGTATTTCCCTATATAATATATTCTGGACTGAAACTGCTGTGCAATAAGCTTTCTCCAATATTGGGGGTATTAGCTATATACTTAGGATAAACCAAGTACACCAGATTTTATGCCAATTGTTATAAGTCTGGCTTTTGGAACTTTCAAGTCCTCCAGGGAAACCTTTGGTTAAAGTTTCTTTTGTCGGAGCAAGATTTTTTGGTGGTGTACCTTCTCTCAATGAACTACACAAAAATACAGCAAGGTTTTTAAACCCTACGTCCAGAGAATGAAGAACAAAGTCTGTGCATCAGGTGTGTTTTGCTTTTTTATGTTTTAATGTATAAATCCACTGTCATTTTCATTTTTATATTGCAATGCTATTATATTTGGGCCATGCCATTATATAATGTTGTTGTAAATAAAAAAGCCAGACAATGTCACTGCTCAATATCTTTAAATAGTGTGGTTTTGTTTCTTTCCAAAAGCTTTCTTACCGCTTACACCTGAAGGCCCCTGCTCTCCTCGCTCACCACTGGGACCTGGGTCTCCTTTAGGCCCTGCAGAAGAGAGATTTCGTCAAATGCAGAACAGTCAAGTGTTTCAGTGGTGTTTAATAAGGATAGCATCACTATTACTACTGATTAAAGTGGTGTTGTGATGTGGTTGTAGTTTTGCACAACTGCACTTCCATTTATCTTCTTGATATTTTAAGAAGTACTAGTAATTAGGAGGTCTAGACAAGCTAAAAAATCATCCGGGTCAGATTTATCTTTGAAGAAGTACCTGGATATCCACGGATCCCTGGTGTTCCTGGCAAACCAGTTTTTCCATCGGTACCTGGACGACCGTCATTCCCCGGTACACCTTGTGTGCACAGAGCAGTGAAAAAGTCTTACAGCATGGAAAAATGTGCAAGGTATTTCCACAACACATATGTTCTGTTTTATTACAGTATGAATTATTAAGGTTGCCTTTCATCATAATAATCAGGCACCTTGTATTCCTCTCTCTCCTGGATCCCCCTTTAAGCCTGGGACACCTGGAGACAGAAGTACATACAGTCAGGGAGAGATGTGGATCTGCTATACTGGGATGAGAGATGTGTGAAAGTAAGGAGGCGATTACCAGGTTTACCCGGAGCGCCGACCATTCCCCGTTCCCCTGCGAGACCTAGGTCTCCTTTCTGCCCCTTTTCACCTGGAGCTCCAGGCTGTCCTAGCTCCCCAAATACAATCATTTTCAATAAATGTTCATTGTTTTGCAGAATTTTCTTTGTATATGCCAAATAACTGAAAGTTACTAACGTAACACTAAATCAATGCGGCATGTAAAAACTGACGAAAAATTAAGAGTACAATACTCACACATGCTTCACAGCCATACACATATGCATACAGATATACAAAAATGCACTCACCCGGTGAGCCAAGTTCTCCTTTCTGTCCCGGTGTTCCTGCGAACCCAGGAATACCTGATACAGAGCACATCTGGAGTATAAATACTGAATAAATACATCAAAAAGACAAAAATACCATTCACACGCATCTGTTGGAACAGAGGATGGAATGGTCAAATGTCAGCTTTAGTTGAGTTCAGTGTTTATGTCTGTTTTGAACAGCAGGGAGCACTAAAACTACACAGATTATGGAGTAACATGTGGTAAGTGATTGTCTCTATTCTGGTCCCTGAGATCTGCTGCTGGTTTCAAAGGAAGAGATGAAAATTAGCCAATGCACATCCCTTTAAACTGGGGACAGGATCTCAGGGATTTTGAGGGCCTCACAGATGTTTGGTATCCTTCTGGATTCCAGTTAGGAAGAGTTGTGCAGCTAAACCTCGTTCCTCTGCCTTCCCATGCCGGTTGATGATGGTTTGAATCCCGTTCAGAGCAGTGCGAGTGGTCAAATCAAGTCACCTTTACAGTGTTCAGGGTGATGTCCTCGCCCAGCTTAGTTCAGTTCTCATATAATGGTGTTAATGCAAGCATATAAATAATATTGTTGAATATCAAGTGGGACCTGTTACATTGGTGCCGTGACCCGGAGGGACCCGGACGAAACACAGTTAGTTATGCAGATGAAACTTCGAGAGGCTTCGACTAATGTTAAATTAGAGTGAGAGGGGGACTGAGTGACAATATTTTCAAGGCATTATCACAGGACACAGTTACCTTGTAATCCAGGTGGACCAGGCGGACCAGGCGGACCAACCATGACTATAAAATATAAAAGAAAACAATAACCTTAATTCTGTGAGACACGCCTATTATGTCTCCAGATAAAATGCTTTAAAGGTGTCATGAAATGTAAAATTTAAGTGTTCTTGATATTTCCACATGTAAGTCTTTACTCTAAAATGAAATCATACTCCAACTTTTACCTTAAATATTACTCAAATATGTGTTGTTGTGAAATTAATTTCCACCCTTATGAAATGGCAGGATTTAAAATGTTCCCATTCTTGATGTAACAATTTTCCCAAACACTTGTGCTGCTATTGAGGTAATACAGGTAAGGTTAGGACAGGTTTGGTAGTCTGGGTAGGGTTAAAGGTGCAATACCTAAGATCTAGATGCCGCTAGAGGGCGCTACATTCAAAACAACAACAACGGCTTTGCTTGATGACGCCGTGGAGGAACGCGGAATGATGGGAACTGTTGTTTTCAACTCCACCGTGGATAAATCAGTCAGACGGGAATCGAAAATTAGTTGTCATGGATGAGGTAAAGTTCGATTTCTATAAACGTTGCGTTTAATGACATGCTTGTATTTCATTAAACTGAAATAACCGTGCAAGAAAAGTCAGGTTAAAAGTAAATTAGTTATCACAGATGTTACTGTACGAGTCACTGGACGAAGCTATGGTGGAGAGGGTTTGAAGGGGCAGGTCTCTCGCAAGGAGTTGACGTGGTTGGCCCTCCTTGGTAACTTTATAAAAATAAAAAATCAATTAATGTCAGTTATCCCAACCTGCAAGAATTCATTTCCGGAGGTATATTTCGATAACAAGATTGTGGGGGTGGGAGGGAAGGCTAACTTTCGCGTTCGCGAGGCACAAACGCAAAGTCTCTCCCTCTGTACAGTGCACGCGCAGCGCGCTGTATGTTATGCGCGCAGTATGTCTCGCTCTAACATTATATCCCGGGAGATTTGAACTAATTTGCGGGCATCAGGGAAACGCTATCAATATGCGGAGATCCGGGAGACTTGGGATGTCTGCAATGTACATTTGACACATCTTTTCATGTCGTGTAAGTATTCAACCACAGCTACAGTTTCACAAAATTAACGTTAAGGGGGTCGCACACCGGACGAGAAGCTGCAGCGCCGCGTTGCACCACATAATTATTCGAACACATTATTATCTATAAGTGTACACATACCGGCGGCGCCATTCGGCGTCTGTCCGCGGCGCCCAGCAACGTTTCAGGACCGTGTTCAAAACCCTGCTGCGCCACAGAGCGCCATTTACATAGTTTTATATAAAATTGTAATTATTTTTGCCTCAAACCGTTGCTAATGGATCCTGACTTTGCCCTATGCTGCAATATCTATGCATTTAGTTTTGCAGTCATTTACAGAAATCAGCTGCTTGAATGACAATTACTGATTATTATTAGATTTTTCACGTGAGATTCTCAATTCATTCTGTGAACGGATGCTCTGAGGTAAAGTTTTCAGAATGCAGACTCAGCAACGATTGTATTTAATTGTACAGTACAATAACATAGAACAGACATTATCTTCATTTCCTGTCATTAAACATAACAATATTGCTGGCCATACACTGATGAGAAAGTGCGCGTCCGGTGTTCGATAACGTTACTGGAGTTGTCCTAAACGTGACGCGGCGCTTCTCGTCCGGTGTGCGACCCCCTTTACAGCCAACAGTTCACATTCCGAGAATAAATGAAAAGAATATATGTGCTCCATTCCAGAACAAATGCGCGAAACAAGCTGCCGTTTGATAGGCGCTAACGCACAACTACAACTACCGCATTTGTCCAGGACTACACGTAGTAAGAGCGGAAACCGAGGTAAGCGGATATGACGCGATTGACTCGCGACTCCCAGCTCACCCCTGCTGACACGTGCCGTTTCCTTGGTTAAAATCTCAATTTTCTCGCGATTTAAACATTGTTTGAAACATTTGGAATATTGTGAGTTATCATCTTTACTAAATATATAACACTGGCCTTGTGATTTTGGGATATTTTAATGCAAAAATCTTAGGTATTGCACCTTTAAGTGGTAAGAGAAGGCCAACAGAGTCATTATGTAATTACAGATCTGAAAATGCATTTCATGATCCCTTGAACGATTGAAATCATGACAGATTCTCAATATATTCCCTGGTCAAACAGTAGGATTTCTCTTGTGTATATGTGTACCTCTCTGTGCACTAACGTTGAGCTGGTTTAGTTGAGTCTTCAGTTTCTCTAGAGTCCCGTCATTCCCACACAGATCGGACAGACACTCCTGTTAACACACACACACCTTCAGCTCATATACCAGAATGTGTTTTTATGGCACAACATGAATGATGGTGTGAGGTGTGTGTATATATACCCCATCTGAGCTGGAGCTGCCCAGCTTGAGTCCTTCAGAAGACTTGAGCTCCTCTGATCTGGGATCAGCTGATGTACAGTGAGTGTGAACCCAAGCCTCCAGAGTGAAGACTGCATACAATACACACCATACAAAGCAGATTAAATGATGGAACAACAGAAACAAGGTGATAGCTTACATGATGCTGTGAAATATTCATGTACAGGAGTCACAAATAGTGTTGGACACTTACTGTAAAGTGCAAACACATTCGATAAAAGCGGTCAGTTATATATTGTATAAAGCTCAGCTCACACAGAATTCACTTTCAAACCAAGCAGATTTCTATTGGTCAGTGCGGTGAATTCAAGTCACTATCTTGAAAATCAGTGAAATCTGCATGGGGGATTTTTTTTGCATGGATTCCTGAGTTTTGCCCATGAATCGCCAAGCAATGGTAAATGTGACCACACCTTAAGGCCACAACTAAAAATATACACATTTTATTGCATTATACAACAAAATATTTAGTGGGATCTGTAAAAGAATGACCTTTTGCCCAATACATTTTATTCAGCTTTTGTTTTGGTGGTTACAGAATAAGTGCATTTTTAAGTCAGTCATAGAGAAACCACAGGAGTAGAAATCACTTTGACTATCAACACGATCCATTGACTTCTGACAACTACAAAAGGTCACAATTCTTCTTCATTTTGTTAAGTTTATTTATAATGTAATTATTTACACCCTAAAACTAGCTTGGTTTCAAATCAATGCCACTTCGTTTGACATTTTGTATATAATGCAAGGGCATTTATAAAGATATACTTTTAAAATGTGAATTTATTTATTTATTTATTTACCTTTATAGACCAGGAAAGAGTTCAGTGCAATCAGGAGCAGGAGAAACACAATGAGAACAGGAATACAGCGACATTTCTTCGCTGGTTTCTTCAGCATTAGCTCTGTAACAAGCAATGCAGAACTCTGGATTAAACTACAGAAAACTGCACAAGTCCAGAAAAAGTCCATTATTGAAATGTTATGAGGGCAATTAAATTAGCGCCATTTTAAATTTCAATACACAGTATTTCCATTACCAACATCAGTCAATCAGTATTTAAAATATCAGACCACTGAATGTCATAATTGATCAGAATGAACCATCCCAGAAACACTCAGTCTGCCCTAGACTCACCGTTGTACTGGAAGTCGTAGCGCTCGGCTTCATTGAGCCTCATGTTGTCTTCATAAAGAGGGTTTGCCTGGCTGAATACAGACGCCTGCCCTTCAACTGAGTCCACATCTGTCTCCATCAGCTCCACCACACACTGACCTCTACACAGCCTGGGTGACGGTTTAAAAAACAAAACCAATGGAAAAAAACAAAAAACAAATGCTGGCTCATCGAAACACAAGTCATCTGACAGAAGAGATGCAGCGGAAATTGTTCCAATGAGTTTGTCAAGAAAAAGGAAGTTGTGTTGTTATTGTGTTGGATACAGTAGCAGGTTAAGCATAAACTGCCTTTGCTGAAGACTGGAGTAATGATGCCGACAATTCAGCTTTGATCACAGGAATAAATTAAGTCAAGTCAAGTCAAGTCACATTTATTTATATAGCGCTTTTCACAATACAGATTGTATCAAAGCAGCTTCACAGTGATAACATGAAAGTAGCACAACACAGATCAACAACATTGCTAACCACTAAATAACCCCAACTGAGCAAGCTCAAAGCAAGCCAAAAGCAAGGCGACAGTGGCAAGGAACCAAAACTCCATCAGATTGGATGGAGAAAAAACCTTGGGAGAACCCAGGCTCAGTCGGGGGCCAGTTCTCCTCTGGCTTACATTCATATTGTTTAAATATAAATATTAAATATAAATATTGTTTATGAATCAAACGGCGCCATAACATATCGCAGGCGTTGAGTCGTCTCTTCACAGGCGTTGAGTCGTCTCATCACAGGCGTTGGGGCATCCGAAATCCCCGTGAGAGGCTGGACACAAAACTGGACCTGACGAACGCCATTTTTCTCAGGACAAGCGTCCCGAGATAACAGCAGAAAGGCAGATGGGAAATAATTAGCATAGCTGATGTTCATAATGATTTCCGTTATAACTCACAAACTCTCCGTAACCTGAACTCTCCGTAACCCAACCATACGCGCCGACCCGTTTGTCTAAAAGGCTGTCGAGCCCCACTGGTGCGTTAAGCAGTTTCAGTGGCAAACGGTTCCGTATGGCATAACAGAGGACTAGAAGGTAAGCATTATGTGAATGCGTCACTAAAGAGAAGCGTCTTTAATCTAGTTTTAAACTGTGTCAGCGAGTCAGAGGCTCGGACCGTATCGGGAAGGCCATTCCAGAGTTTTGGAGCTAAATGCGAGAACGCCCTCCCTCCTTTAGTGGACTTCGATATCCTAGGAATGACCAGAAGCCTTGAATTTAGTGATCTTAAGGAACGCGGTGGATTGTAGGGCGAAAGAAGGTCCGTTAAGTACATAGGAGCTAAACCATTTAGGGCTTTATAGGTCAGTAGCAGTATTTTGTAGTTGATGCGGAACTTAATAGGCAACCAGTGTAGAGATGATAAAATCGGTGTTATATGATCATATTTTCTCGACCTAGTAAGAACTCTAGCAGCTGCATTTTGTACTAACTGTAGCTTGTTTATTGAGGATGCAGGACAACCGGCTAATAAAGCATTACAGTAATCTAGTCTCGAGGTCATGAATGCGTGAACTAATTTTTCTGCATCAGAGATAGATAGCATGTTACGCAGCTTAGCAATGTTTCTAAGGTGGAAAAAGGCTGTTCTTGTAACATATGAAATATGATCTTCGAAAGATAAGTTGCGGTCTAGTATAACACCCAGGTCTTTTACTGTAGTGGATAAAGTAACAGGACATCCGTCTATATTAAAGTTGTATTGTGAGAGGTTTTGTGAGTAGTTTTTTGGACCAATAAGTAATACCTCCGTTTTATCTGAATTTAATAGCAGGAAATTACGCGTCATCCAGCATTTTATATCTTTGAGACACTCTGTCATTTTAGATGAGTTAGTGTTTTCATCTGGTCGTGATGAAATATATAATTGAGTGTCGTCAGCGTAACAGTGGAAATTAATTCCATGTTATTACAAATTACAGTTTACTATATATATTAACATGAGAAACAGCTGTTTGTATATATCGTGATCACATTATTACTAATATTATAATATAATAGTGACTTTTAGCTTCCATCTGGGGTCAGGTTTAGCCCTAGAAGTCAAAACTTTGGGTACATGAGTCAAAACCCAAATTAGATTTTTTTTATTTTATTTTTTTAGGTTGGGGGGAGAGGGGAGTAAGCTGTGGGAATGTGCAACCCATGGTCAGTCAGTAGTACTTACAAATGGTCATGCAAACATTTATATAGATTATATACACAAACAGTTCTGTCCTCATTATAGAAAGCTAATTAAACATACACATGTGTGTAACTCATTATCTAGAGCGCAAATAGAGATAAACTCATTTAGGGGTCGTTAGTTCTCTTACGTAATATCTTACGCTAGGGGAAAGACCTCTTTACTCGAGATATTGAAGTAAAAAAATTATCCTTAATTTTGCATTAATGTAAAATGCGTTGCAGCAGCATGCAGACATAGGCAAGGCGGCTTAGCGTGCCTTTTGGCTGTCCTGTGGCTACAGCAGCAGCATATCGAGAGCGGCCCTTTGGTACGGTCCAATAGGGGCGCTTCGCGCCCACTGTGTCACATTCCCGCCGAAGTAGGCGTGGCCTAGCCCTATAAATATAGCTTGATGGACTGATATCACTAATTTTTAATCTCTTCAGCGAAGCGTACGCATCGCTGGATCCTTAGCGAGAAAAGCCTTCTGCAGGACGAGCCATCTTCTGAAGTCGCCGGCCTTCACTTCGCCGCCTCCTGCTACGCTATCCGGCGCCTATATCCTTTTACACTCTGCTCACTGTGTGTTCGCCCCCATGACTCATTTACTAAAAGAACTGCGTAATTTCACAGATGCCTCGTGCCGAGCCCGACTCAGCGACGGGGAACGCCATGTTATGTGCGTTTCCTACCTGGGAGAGGATCATGCAGCACTGGTGCGCCCTAAAAAGCGCCGTACTCAGCGGGTCCCTGAGCCTCTTCAAGCTCGCGACAGCTCGCCAGTTCGCCCGCCAGCTTCTCTTGGCTCGCTTACTTCCCGGATCTGCAGAGGAGGCCAGCTGCTCTCTACTGGCATCAGACAGCAAGGATTGGGCGAGCTCTGTGTACCTCCCCCACTGTTCCTGATTCGGCCGGAAAGAGAGCCAGCATCAAATCAGAACTAATGCGTCTACTCTCGCAGGCGGTGCCGAGCCTCGGCCTTGAGTGGGAGTGAGTGGGCCTTGACTGGATGGGTGAGACCACGCCCCACCACCTTCCAGACCCGTGCCCTGTCTTCCTGAGCTTCACAGACCATTGTGGGGACTGCTCCTTGTGGCTCCGCTCTGGACGAACCAGGAATGGTTCCCAGTCCTAATGGAGCTGACGAGCACTGCCCCATGGCAGTGAAGAGGGTAACGGAAGTGTTTTCCCTCCTTCAAGAGCTACTGGATAAGGGCAGGTCCCCATCCATGTTCAAAGTCTACGTGGCAGCCATAGCAGCGTTTTCAAAATCTGTGTCTGGCCTGTCACTGGGGAAAATGACCTGGTCATTCATTTCCTAAAAGGAGCTAAGAGGTTAAATCCTCCCAGAACCCCATCTATCCCCATGTGGGACCTTTCCACGGTTCTAGAAGCCTTGAAAGAGGCCCCATTCGAGCCAATCCAGATGTTGGATATGAAACACTTGTCTTTCAAAACAGTGTTTCTACCAGAAAGATTCGGGAGAATAAATACTGTAACAATAAATAAATACATTTATTGATAGCCCAGCAAGCAATAAAGTTCTTTGGCGTAGGCCCCGTCCATAGCTCGCAAACTGCAGCCGACCCCCTGGGAGGTATAGGAAGGGACCATCCTGGTGGTGGTGGGGAGGATGGAGGTAAAGGAACGCGTCAGCATCTGTGAACTCAAACATGTGTAAGTACCGGTCTTTTATACTGCAAGTATTAGACACGATTGGATAGATGAGAAGGTAATAAGTGACGTAACAATAGTCTCGATAAGTCAAACCACGAACGTCGTGCTGAGTGATCTGAACTGTATGAAGTTCAACGAACTTCTGAACTGTATGAACGGCGTTCGGGGATCGACTTATCGAGGCTATTTTTTAAGATGGCTCCTGTCTGTATACGCATAAGTGAACTTCATAAAAAGTCTTCATAAAGTATCTTCTTATTAAACGGTCTGTACACTTACAAAGTTCTCAATGCTTCGTTTTGTATGTATGGAGCCTCATTATGTTACTGTGTTAGTGTGGGGCTATTTTGAGCCTTGTTAGTGGTATAAACTAGTGATTTCTTTTTACTTAGTCAATGCCCCCATTACTAGCGTTATACGCTAAACAGTTTTTAGAGATAAAACTCTTTACATTCGATTATCATGAAAACAAATCTCAGAGAACGGTTGACTATGTACCGATGTTTTATTAGTCCAAAGGTTCATTGTTCGCCGGAGTTCTCCTTTAAATATCAGGGCAAATATAGTGTGTAATTAAAACGATTTTTTTTTTTTATAACAGTACCTTTCTCTGCAATTACAGTGCAAATAATGTTGTTTCGTTTTGCTACATAGTAAGTAGTGTTTGTTACCCCCCTTGTTCTGTGTAGTTACAGGGTAAGTGTAACTCCTGCGGGCTGTAAATTAAAGTGGTGCTTGTTACCCCTTTATTACCCCAAACTTAACATATTGTTCCCTTATAACTACACGGAAGTACACTATAATTACAGAAATGTACACCGTAATTTCAGTGTACTTACACAGTTGTTTGCGGGTCATAAAATAAAGTGTTACCAAAGTTTCTTGTTTAGCACAGAAAAAAAAAACAGACATCACCTGAACAGAAAATTTAAAGCATCAGGAATTCAATGGGCTTTATGCCCAGCTGCACTACTGTACTTCCTGAACTTCAGCCAGCTTCTTGTTTCCTGTCTGCAATTATTGGCCAAATTAATTAATCCAGGTGTGCCTGACTGCAGTTGTCATGGCAACAATAATCAGACACACCTGAATTAATCAATTTGACCAATAATGGCAGACAGGAAACAAGAAGCTGGCTGAAGTTCAGGAAGTAGTGCAGCTGGGCATAAAGCCCAATTGTAAATGTACAATCTTTGACAGTGTTTTATGATTCAGCCTCAATTATCGCCCCTCAAGAAAAATAGCAGTGCTTTAAAACTATAGGACAAAAGAGCTAAGCTAGCGCCAA